GGCCCGCGCCCCGCGGCGGCGGCGGCGGCGAGAGCGGTCGCGCCGCCGCCGTCGTGGCGCTGTGCGCTTCGATACGGGCGATGCTTTGCCTGCTCTTTCCTCTACTGGTTGACAACGAGGTGATGTCACAGGCCCTAGCAGCTGACCGGCAGCTGATTGCTGCGCTGGCTGCGCAGCTGCCTGGATCAGAGTGGCCCGCGCCCGCCATCGGCGGCCGCGAGAGCGGTGATGCAGCGGCGGCGGTGGGGAGGAGCGAGGTCGCTGCCGCCGTGTACACCGCCGGGGCCATCGGCTATATCGTCGGCCGGCGCCCGAGGCTCGCGCCCGTCCTGCTGCGCGCGGCGCCCGGCGTGGCCTCGGGCTTGGCCGCACTGCTGCGGCTGCGGCGGGGCGACATGTATGCAGCGCACGAGGCCCTCTTCGCATTGCAAGCCATTGCATACCCTGGTGTCGGCGTCGTCAGCGGTGACGAAGCGGAGGAATGCCTCGCCGTCATGCGCTGCCCGGAGGTGGCGACAGAGGCTTTGTTAGTGATGCGTGCCCTTGGGCCAACGCATTGCGGGACACCAAGCGACGACCTGGATAGGGGCAAGTTTGCTTTGGTGCTCGCCATGGAGGTCCTGGGCAGCTGCCTCAACCTGCAAGGCCCCACATGCCCCGTGTCCCCGGACGCCGCAGCCGCCGCCGCGCTGCCGCTGCTTGGCGGGCAGCCCGCCGTGGGGGCGGCGGCCATGGCGCTCGTGCTGCCGGCCCCGGCGCCCGCTGACATGGTGGCGACCGCGGAGCGGTTCTTGCCCGTCGCGCTGGACATGCCGGGCCATTGCCTTCGGCAGGGCTGGCGGCTGAGCGATCCCAATGCACCCACCGCTATTGGGGTCTTCAGCACCCCCAGCGTCGCGCTCAGGTTCCTGTTGGAATGCGGCCTGGTGAGCGGCGAGCCCGCTGCGGGCGGGCGGGCGCCTGCCTGCCTGCATGCCTGCCTGCCTGCCTGTCTGCCTGCCTGTCTGCCTGCCTGCCTGCCTGCCTGCCTGCCTGCCTGCCTGCCTGCCTGCCTGCCTGTCTGCATGTCTGCCTGCCTGTCTGCATGTCTGCCTGCCTGCCTGTCTGCATGTCTGCCTGCCTGCCAGCCGGCATGCCTGCTGCGGAAGTCCACCCCTGCCGTGCCCCTGCTTTCTTCGCCTGAGTTTGCTGCGGGCAGCCGGCGCGCTGCGGCAAACGCCCTCCCATCTAAGCCCCTTGGATCCATAGCATCCGTCGTGCCCACCGCTGACATTTGCAACCCCGCACGGCACGCCGAACGCGATCTCATCCGCCCCTCCCTGCCATGCGCTTTCCCCTGAAACGTCCTCACGCAGGACTCGGACAACCCATCGACAGTGGACGCCCTCATTTCGCGGGTCCCAGACCTGCCACGCGCCGTGAGCGCCGCGCTGCAAGTGGCAGCCGCCAGCGTCGGCATCCTGCCGCATCCCCTCGGCCCGCTGGCCACGGCCGCCGCGCGGCGCGCGGCCGGGCGCGGCCTGCGGCCGGGCGACCCGGCCGACAAGCTCCGTGCGGCGCTGCTGCTGCTGTCGCGCCTGCTGAACGGCGAGGAGCTCCTCCCGCTGGCGGCCGCGCTGGACGTGTGCGACGCCGCCTGGCCCGTCGCCGAGGCCGCTGAGGCACGGCACCCCGACACGGGAGTCCGCGAGGCGGCAATGTACGTGACGTGTAACATCGCGTGCCACACGGTTGGCCGCATGGCCATAGGGGCGCTGATTTCGGCGGCGGCGCGACTTGGGATCGAGGGCGCGGAGCAGCTTCACGCAACGGCCGTGACGTTTAGGGACTGCGCATACCTGGATGACTTGGGGCTGGGTGGTCTGGTCTCGGTCATGGAGCGCCTGGCGGAAGCAGGGGCCGGCAGCCTCGCCGGAGATGAGGAGTGGCTGGCGGGCGTCTGTGAGGACTGGGGCCAGCCGGATTGGGAAGGCCTTGCTGGGTGGGCGGCGGCCCGGCGGCGGCGGCGCGAGCTGGAGAGGGCGGGGGTTGAGGGCGGCAACGCTGATGAGGCGACAGCTGGGGGCGGAGGAGGAAGCAGCAGCGGCAGCAGCAGAGGCAGGGACAGTGGCGGAGGGGAGCTGGCCGCACGCAGTGGTGATGGGGAGGAGGCTGCGAGTCGTGGTGGCGGTCTGCAGGCTGCAACGGATAGCGCAGGCGGCAGCGGCAGCGGCTGCACCGTCCAGCAGCCCGCGAGCGGCGACGGCTCCCAGCAGCAGCAGCAACCTACCGGCGACTGCAGCGACCAGCAGCAGGGCAGCCGCACAGGGAAGGTGTGCGCAGTGTGCGGCGCGGCCGCGGCGCCGGGCGGCGGAGTGCTGAAGAAGTGCAGTGGGTGCATGGCGGTGCTGTACTGCTCTGCGGCATGCCAGACCCAGGACTGGAAGCAGGCTGGCGGGCACAGGGCCACTTGCAAGCAGCTGCAGGCGCAGCGGACGGCGGCGCCCGCAGCACAAAATGGGGCCAACGCTTGATCCCTCAACAATGTGCACACACATTCGGCTTTGCGATGTGCCCTCCTCTGTTCAGCAGCGCTTGTGCTCCTCTTGCACACACCTCCAGCCGTGTAAATATGACTGCCTGAGCATGTATTGACCATGTTCTGGGATGGTTGTGACTACCGGATAGCCAGGACTTTTACGCAGTATGCCTGGTCAATCAAGCCTCTTGGCGCAGGGGTAAGAGCAACACACAAGAGCTGATATCACATAGGGATTTTCCATCCGTGCGGCGCTGTGTTCCTCGCAGTAGGAGTAATGCGCAAGTGGACCCACAAAAGTTGTACTGAGGCCGCATGGAGCCACGCCCTTTGTTGAGATGGTATTGGTGATGTGGTTGGTTCTGCGCGTGGCCACAACACATGAGCGAGAGGCTTGTGACTGGGACACCAGTCTAAGTGGCACCAGGTGTGGTCACAGAGTCACATGACAGAGTGAGACGCCCCGTGTCCGGCAGCCACACGCGGTGCACAAACAGTGGCGATCAACATGTCCCGTGGCCTGCTCTCTATCTGGGTCACAAGCCGTCCTGTCGGTACCTCATGTCGGTCGAAACGCAGATCATTGTCACGATTCACAGAACGCAGCTACCGTAGATCTCGGTTCCAGACCGTCTGATTTGATTTTTCGCTAGATTATACACTGGAGGTAATCACCTCGAGATACTGCGCTGCCTAGCCCCGCACCACCCTGTGCAGCACCGCACCACCAGGCACTCCGCCGCACTGCTGCAGTGCTCCACGCTGCACAGCTGAGCAGGAGCCTGACAGCTCGGCACATGAAGCATGGCGGTCAACGCGGCGCTGAAAAGCGTCTTGGATCTGCTAGAGGACGCTCAGCGGGTGGATGCCTCTAATCGA